CAGGCAATTGTTGAATGATCCATCCCCTGTCATCCAGTCCCAACCAGCTCCTTACAGTCAGAGGCTTACGGACACCCAGAGCACCGGGTTGCATCTCTGACCATCTTGGCTAATGTTCATTGATGGACCTATCACCCATGAACTTACCTAATTCTTTTTGAAACGTAGTTATACTTTTGGCCTTCATAACATTTCCTGACAATGAGTTTCACAGGTTGACTGTGAATTGTGTGAAGAAGTAATTCCTTTGGTTTGTTTTAAACATGCTGATTATCGTCATCATCAGGTGACCCCTAGTTCTTGTGTTATATGAAGGGATAAAACTTTCCTATTCATTTTCTCCACACCATTCATGATTTGATACCCCCTTTTAATCATCTCTTTTCTTAATTGAACAATCCCAGTCATTTTAATCTCACCTCATATGTTAGCTGCTCCATACCCCTAATCATTTTTGTTGCCCTTATCTGTATCTTTTCCAATTCTAATATGCCTGTATTGAGATGGGGAGACCAGAACTGCACACACTATTCAAGGTGTGGGTATATCATGGATTAAAGTGACATTATGATATTTTCTATCTTATGATGTATCCCTTTCCTAATGGTTCCTAACATTCGGTTAGCCTTTTTGACTGCCATTGCACATGGAATGGATGTTTTCAGAGAAACTCCAAAATCTTGTTCTTGAATGATAACAGCTAACTTAGGCCTCATCATTTTATATATACATATAGGCTTCGCTTCCTTTTATCTGATTTCCATGCACACATTTTGCTTTTTGTGAAATGTTTACAAAATGGCTTTTTTTTTAAACTAAAAAAAGTGAAAATATAAACTGCTGCATGTTCTGGTGCAAACTATTTTTTAAATTGAAAATGGGCCCAATTTCTCTTAAAAACTCATGTATTAACATCTGAAAATGGGAAGATTCTGTGTACAGTGTAGTACCCTTAATGATTTTTTTCTAACAGGAATAGGTGAGTTTTTAAGTTTGCAAATAAATGCAATCACCTATCTATACATACACAATTTTTAACCAGTTTTACACTTCAATGTATATTTCGCCCAGCTCTGTCCTTACATTGAGAAAGGTAGGGCACAGGAGGCAATGGGAACTAGAGATAATATATTTAGTAAATAGCAGCACTTTAAGGTCTGGAGTTTGGTGCTACACCCAGCCAAGATATACCAGCCAAAGAAAGCAAAAAGCCCAAGAATACTCATCTTTAAGGAAAAAAACATAAGCAGAAAATCTCAGTCGTCAGTAAATAACTTGGATGCTAAAAGACACCATAGCAACAGCAAGGACTCTCCTGCATTAGAAAATGCCCTACTAACACTTTCCATCAATGACTAGTACTGTACAATTACCATTCGTCTCCACAGCTTGGAGAATAATTGATTTTTCATTTCACTGACAGCTCTGAGAAAAAAAATAATCAGTTCAGACCAAACCAAATCCAAAAATTCAGTGAATCAAAAAACATTTGTTTTGGGCCAAAAAATGCATGTTGTTCAACCTGAAATGTTTTGTTTCCAAGCATTTTTAAAGGGCTAGGTGAGACTTGGATTCAAATCCCTGCTCCAAAGAGGGAGGGTAGGCCTCCTTCCTTCAGGGTGAATGCCTTAACCAGCAGGCTATATATTATTCTTGGGTTGAGTTCTCAAGTTCTGCCGCAGAAGTTCTTCCACTTTATATAAAATAGCTGAATTGTCCGGGGGGACGGGCTGAGCAGACGGATGGATGGACAGACAAACACTCCATAGTATGGTGGCTAGGGCACTCACCTAAGAGGTGAGACGTCCAGGTTCAAGTCCCTGCTCCAAAGAATATGTAATCATTTACATAAGCTGAGTTGCTTTCGGTCTCTTCTGTTGAAAGTATAGAGCCCGGAATAGCCTATAATCTGTTGTTTAGGGCACTCCCCTGGAAGTAGGGAGATGTTGGTTCAAATCCCAGGGTTTCCCACATCCTAGGTGAATGTTTTAACCTAGTTATAAGGTGGGCACCTCCTCTCCAGCCATTTTGTGAATCTAGCCCTTTTTTTTCGTGGCCCAAAATGTTCAGCAAATTTGTGTCAAAATCACAAATAGTTTCAGGTTGACTAAACTGCATTTATTTAGCAAATAAACTATGCTTTCGAAAAATTTCACCCTGCTCTAGCAATCTCTAATATATCCAAACTCCCACAAATCAAAAAGATTGTTCCAAAAATAAAAACAAACAGGCCAAATTTACCCAGGTTGTCTCCAGCATTTGCACACCCCTATATTGCTTTATAAATTCATTCACTATGATCATTTAGTGAATCTGCACCTGTGTTCCAGAGAAGATCCATCTGCATACCTAGGGACAGCTTTTCAAATGTACTTAGCACTCAGCAGCTCCTACTGAAAACAATCAGAGCTGATGAGTATGTTTATCAATCTGGCCCTTAGTTCATAAAGCAGTGAAACTTGAGAACTTTTCTATTGCGTAAAGTACCAGTAGATAGGTATATGCAGTATTCTCTTGGGCCCTCACCCTGCAGCCCTTACACGCATGCTCAGCTTTATTCACGTGAGTAGTTCCCATTAAACCCAGTGGGACTGTTCACATGAGTAAAGCTAAGCCTGTGCATAAGTGACTGCAGGACCAGGGCTTAGTTTGCACTTAGCAGCCACTGTATATACAAATAAAAGTTAGGCCATAGATACTTCAATTCACTCTAATATCATGAGATCCTATGGTAGAGGACCATATATATACAGTAATCCCTGAAACTCAGCTAAAGGTGTCAAAGCAGCATTAACTCAAATTTTCCTGGCCTTTGTGGGTAAGGTAAAATCTTCAGTATTTTTTTTTAAAAAACCTATACTTGTTTTTTTGCTTAATATTAGATATATGCACTTTGGTTTCTTTCATGAATTAAGAAAAAAATCCTTTTCTTTGTCACAACAAACAATTTTATTGGCCTGATTTTCCCTACTAGTCTTATTGAAGTCAATGGGAGCTGCTTAGACTCAGCCACTTTGAAAATGTAGCCATATAAACTGAAGTTAAGGTTCACTTACAATAAATTGCTTTTCAAAGTCTTTCAAAAGATATATCACATCTACAGCACATAATTAGTTTCCCTAATGGTGACAACTATAGCACTTTCTATGTCCTTTGTCAGACATGTTTTCTTTTGTTCACTTTTAATAGCTGCTTTGAAAGTTTGTGTCAATTGTGTAAGATTGAATGTCTGAATATTTAACAATCTGACTTGGATATTGGATCCCAGTGGGGCTCCAGGATGATTCTGCCTTTTTCTTCTAATGTTCTTTCGATGTCTCCTCTATTGTGATAAAAGTCTCCTAAAACTTCTGTCTGTGAAGAGCTCCTCTGAAGCAATAAAGAACCCCTCCCCCATCCTTGTAAACAGATGGAATTAATGCTACTTCACTGGACGGCATTTCTAAATTGTCTACTGTGAAAAGCCTTTGATTATGAAGTACCAGCATGAGAAGAAAAGTGTGGGCTGTGAAAAATAAGTAGAGATCAGGTAGGAATGGAAGAACAGGAGTGAATAAAAAAATAATTCTTTACCTATTAATCAATATTGTTGTAAACAGACATCTTTGTTGATACTTAAAAAGAAAGTTTGGTTAACTTCCCCCTCCCCCCAGGCTGTGCCTCTGGATTTCCTGGATCCAGTCTGGACTGGAAGTAGAAGTAGTAGAATAGTATGAGAAAACCATTTTGATATATCTGGCCTGACTGTAAAGAAGTAGTAGTTTCTAAAATCTCACAAAAAGCCTATTGTTGCAAGGGATTTACAGCTTAACTTTACAGACAAAAGAGGTTCAGATAGCTCCACTTAAATATGGGCTCAAAACAGAACCATCCCATTGAATTTTAGAGAAGTGGAATTGTAATCTGAACTTTGTAATTCAAGCTTCTCTTAAATGTGGACTGACCTGGTACTCTGAGTCCAAACATACTTGAATTGTGGGGAAGTTCAGATTTGTATCTGACTCTGGATTAGAACCTCATAATTCAGACCCAGCTCTAGTTCAGATAAGGCTTTTGTAAGTATTGAAAGTTTAGATGCTTATCTAAACTAAACCTAGCTTATTTGAGCCTTTTAAGGCTCACCCAGCACTACAATCAAGTATATAATAATGCATTGATGCACCTTCTAGGTATTGATGTTCAGGAAATGCATAAAGATGCTTTAGTGGTAATCTATTTTACACTGATAGTACACGTCTAACAGATTTGCCCAAAACTGGGTAATTTGCTTCCCAAGTGAGAATTCTTTCTAATTCTTCTATTAACCAGACTAAGGTTCAGCTCAGAAATAGGCTTCCTCTTCTCAAATTCAAGGTGAGCCTGCTTTAGTGGAGTGCTACTTGGCCATACAGAAATTAGATTTGACATTTTCATGACAGAAGAACTGCAATACATACTATGTAATGGCAGCTCTTACACAATTAGGAGGGGGCATTATGTAAGTAAAACCTTCCAAAATGGCACATGTACCATAAATCAATGCTTTATTAATGACGACATATAACATCATCCCTGTTACAAATGAAATGTATACAGTTTGTGGTCATATAAACATCATTCTAAGTTCAACTCTGGTCACAAATACATTCATTCTGAGCTAAGGTGACCAGGTGTCCCAATTTTATAGGGACAGTCCTGATATTCAGGGCTTTTTCTTATATAGGCGCCTATTACCCTCCACCTCCTGATTTTTCACACTTTCTATCTGGTCATCCTATTCTGAGCATTAGAAAATGTCTTTCATACATGACATTATGCAGCACCTGTTGGTTGCTCATCCTAGATTATTCTGAACAGCTCAAGCACTCCCTGCTAATGCTAAGAATCTGTCCCTATACACCCATTCATTGCCATGGGGAAAAGAGTTTATGAAAGTTTGAGAGAGTTCATTAAGTAAAATTATCACCAGGGTTATTAAAAATACAAACAAATATTGCTTAGAGACCTGATTGTTACTCTACCTGTTACTTTGAGTCTGTCAGCTCCAATGATGATCTCATCTTCATCTGCAGAAAACAGCACCTTTTCACCTTCACTTGCCCTCACTTCAAATCTCTTACACTGGGCCTCCACAGCATCAGCTCCTGGAATTGAGAAATAAGACACTTAATCTAAGAAAACTGAAATGAAAAGATAAATAATCAATACTTCATTTTGAATCCCTGAAGCACATACAGTACCTCAAGTTTTGAACAATATTTTGGTTTCAATATTTTTGTCTGTTGTAGAACACTTTGTATTATAAAATCTTTCAACAGCTTCATAGTATAAATGATTATCCCAGTATTGTCTATTAGGATAGGATTTAAAAATAACAAAAATAAATAGTATATATAATTTATTTAATTGATAGTGGAAGGAAAAGCAAAAATTAAGAATTAACTAAAATTCAGAGATCTTGAAATGTGAATTCAGAAAGGTTTCTTAAATTTTATCTGTATAATTTTCAGTTTTGTGCCAGTAAGAACATAAGTACTGACATATTCTGCCAACACAAACAAGCAAACAAATTTACTTTGTGGAAAAGCTATTTTTTCCAGGTTGATTTTTTAGTCCTGTCATATACAGTACTTTCATAATTTGATAACTTAAAAAAGCAAACACACACACACACACTTTTGTCTCATCACTTGTTTGGAACTTGATGTTATGGAAGAAAAATTCCTAAATATCTTAGGGCACTTAGTGCCTTACAGTTAAAAGATATCAAAATCCTAAGAGAATGTCCCGACTAGAGCATGCGGAACTTGTTTTAGACAAATAGCAGATATCAAAGTCCTATCTACTATATTTAGAATGCAATCTCTTTTTCTTCTCATACTTCAGTATAAATTCTTTTTTTTTTAATTGTATCCTCTTATTTCACTCATCATTAGCAATGAAACAGAGCTTTAGTTTTCCAAGTGAGAGTGATAAATGACAAGTTATGTTCCATTGACCAACAGTAAGAAATCCTTCAGCCTTCTTGCGCAATGTTATTTCTATGACACTCCTAGGTTTTCTCATTGATCCCCATTTAATTACATTTATATATTTAGATTCCTAATTTAGGCCTAGATTATCCCCTCAAGATACACATGCAAAGGATTATGGGGGTGGTATTCTAAACTCCACTGCAGTTGTCATCAGAGTTCACATACCAGCCTCCCAGCTCTGTTGAAGCAGTAGATATTGTACAGCAAGGAATGCACCTGCTTACATAATGCTGCAGTCATCAGTTCAACATATAAATGGCCATCATCAAAAACCGGAATCCAATCAGAGATATAAAAGCCCTAACAGCCAATTTTGAATTAGGATTTTCTGATGAGGTTCTTAATATTCAGGGCCAAGTTAAAAAAAAAAGAAAAAATTAAGCTCTTGGAAGGGTGATTACCCCACTAGAGTGATATTATATTTACACTATATAGAAGCTAGAATTATAGTTAGAATATCAATACAGAAGATTTATAGTAATATAGGCGCAGCTCTCCTCCTTTGAAATTAGTGCTATATTTGCCCTGTTGTAAAAGTGCCTCTTATGCAGATTGTATCCGATTCCACCTCCATGTCATGTTTTGCTTTATTTTTAACATTATGACTGTGGTCATCAGGTTTTGCTACAATTTTTATTTACTCTGTGTAGTGAAAGAAGTGAACAGGTTTCTGAAGTGCTCTTTATAACTACGTAATAATGACCAGATCCCGAGAGTCTCTCAGAACCCTCATATCCCATTAACAGAGGCTTAATCCTACAAAGGGCAGAGTGCTTCCAGAGAGGCATTCACTCCCAGTGGCATGACAAACACATGCTAACCATAACAGATATGAACCTCTAAGAACTGAACCTGCCGGTTTGTAATCCCTCAGCACTATAAAACCAAGATGGCAAGGTTCAACAGCTCTAAAGTGGCTTTGTTTTCTTTTACTGCATTGAGGATCCTGTGTGTGTGTGTATGTGAAAGTGCCCACTTACTTCTCATGCAGCTTCTGAACTGTGAGGTGCACATGTCCCTCAAATCCCATTTAAGGGCCTGATCCAACTTGGTGCTGAAGTTCCTCCACTCCCACTTGGATTTTTAAGGCAGGGTGTCTGGCAAAAAAAAAGGTTAAATAGCCCCCTATTACCCTCATTTCTGAAGTCTTCACAGGACAAATGACTGGCTCACCTGTACATCAATCTTCTTTGTTGAGATTAGCTAGTTGGACCACTACCTCCTTCTCCCACAATCTACTAGAAATTTGAGCGTGAACAGCTTATTTCTCCACCATCCTGGATAGTGGGACTGCAGAAAAGCTGGTTACCTTGCTTAAATTAATTTGGGCCTAAAACACCCAAGATTCCTCTGTACTAAATGAGATAGTCCCCAGATTTAATCTCACAGAGACAGGCGTAAGAATAGAACTGATTCTGCAGGGTGGTCACACTCTACACTCCCAAAGATTATGGATTTACTGAATGCATACCATATAAGATCAGGCTATAAACAACTATGAATACTCTTGTCTATTATCAGTCCTTCAGTCTTGCTTGCACTAGGGAAATCTAATTAAGTTCAACATGTGTAAAACAGAAAGAGTATAAACTCTGGCATGTGAAGTAAAAATATAAGAAGGCAGACCAAGTAAGAATTTGATTAGCAACTAGCTAAATACCACAAAAACTAACAAAAAATATTGAAGTATATGAGAAGCAGGAAACCTGCCAAACTGTCAATTGAGTCACTCGCTGATTGATGTGCTAAAGGAGCACCCAAAGAAGATAAAGCCATTGCAGAGAAGCTAAATGAATTCTCTGCATCAGTTTTCACTATTCTTTGTACGGAACAAATCTGAGAAACTATCCCAGACTGAAGTGTCAGTAGAGGTGGTTTTGGAACAAATTGATACATTAAATAGTAATAAGTCACCAGGAACAGATGGTATTCACTCAAGAGTTCTGAAGGAATTCAAATATTAAATGGCAAAACTACTAACTGTGGTATATAACATATTATTTTCATCAGCCTCTGTACCAGATAACTGGAGGGTAGTTAATGTAACACCATTTTTTTAAAGGCTTCAGAAGTGATCCTAGCAATTACAGGCCAGTAAGTCTAACTTCAGTACCAGGCACATTGGTTGAAACAACAGTATAGAATAGAATAGAATTATCAGACACATAGATAAACATGGTATGTTGAGGAAGAGTCAACACAGCTTTTGTATATATACACAGCTTTTGTAAAGGGAAGTCATGCATCACCAATCTATTAGAATTCTTTGGATGTGGACAAGGGTGATCTAGCAAATACAGTATACTTGGACTTTCAGAAAGTCTTTGACAAGGTTCCTCAGTAAAAGCTATTAAGCAAAGGGAGGAGTCATGGGATAAAAGATCAGTAGCTAGTTAAAAGATAGGTTAAAGGAAACAAAGGTTTGGAATTTATACAATGGAGAGAGATAAATAATGGGGTCCCCCAATGATCTGTATTGGGACCTGTGCTGTTCAACGTATTCATAAATGATATGGAAAGGGGGTGAATAGTGAGGTGACAACATTTGCAGAAGTTACTACATTACTTAAGATAGTTAAGTCCAAAGCAAAATGCGATGAGTTACAAAGTGCTCTCACTAACTGGTGACTGGGCAAAAAAAGATAGATGAAATACAATGTTGATAAGTGCAAAGTAATGCACATTAGAAAAAATAATCCCAAGTATACATTCAAAATGATGGGGTCTAAATTAGCTGTTACCACTCAAGAAAGATCTTGAAGTAACTGTGGGTAGTTCTCTGAAAACATCTGCTTGAGGTGTCCCTAAACTTCCAACTTCAGAAGCTGGGGCTGAATTACAGGGGATGGATCACTCAATATTGCACTGCTCTGTTCACTCCTCAAGAATCTGTCACCAGCCACTGTCAGAAGACAGGATGGGCTAAGATGGTCTGGCCCAGTACGGCCGTTCTTATATTCTTAAGTGTAGGCATAGGTCTTTACTCATGTTGGACATGAGCAAACTTATACAGGAACCACACATAATGATACATAAACGTTGCATTTAAAACAATGGACACCAAAAACACTTAAACTTAATTCAAAAAGTTCTCCCAAGGACATGCAGGAAATTGTCATATCTGTACCAAGTCAGACCCTATATTTACTTTCCTAGGCACAACTACACAGGCAGAGGGCATCAAGACAGACTACTATAGAACTACTTTCAGGTCTGGGAAAAGGAGAATAGTGTTTTGGTAAAGATGATGGGGAAAAGTGAGAGGGAGAAAGATATCTATTACAAGTAATAGCCCAGCTTTTAATGACTCACATGTAAAACTTGGTGTGTTACAAACAGTACAGTTTTTTATGCAGAATGCTTAACAAGCTAACCATCTGTAGCAGAAATTATTACCACCACCAGGAAACTTGTGAGATATTTTAAACCATTGACATTTGAGGCTCTTTACTTTCATGCTATATCAAAATACTCCTAGAAATCGGTTACTCCACAAATGTCATTACAAAAGTGAATTCCACTTCTTCTACAATAAAAGAAATGTGCTTTGAGTATATGTTACACTATGGAAAAAAATGTTTTGGAGGCACTTAGGCATGTTATGCAACTCAATGATCAGTGAAGATTATATTTGCCATTCTGAACCCAATTCATGGAAGACATGGGTCTGTTCTAGATCTCAACTAGAAAACTTAGCTCAAGCTGTAACAATTTCTGCTTTTAGCTCTAGCTGTCCCTGGTTCATTCCTTGGTATCAGCCAAGATGGTAACCATCAGAAATGGATTAGATGAAGTGGAATTTACTGGAGAATACGCATGGAAATCTCCCAAATTTGGATAAGTGATATAATACCCTACCAAATACAGAGCTATATTTTTACATTGCATCAAGTTCGTAAAGGAACTGCAAACAGTACTTCAGGGAAGGTAAAGGTCATAATTGCATGCATAAAAGATGTGTTCTCCTGAAAAACTAATGTAATTTAGGATAGAAATGCCTTTTTCCTTGGCATTTCTAGGAAGCTTGTTGCTGCAGAATGTACACTCTGCAGAAATCTTACCATCAGACATTGGCCTGCTTTTGCTGATCTCTCTGTTGGTATAGTTCA